TAACTGAATTAAAACTTCAACGTATGCTTTCCCCAACTTGAAGAGTGGGCTTCTGCTGGGAGCTCCATCATGACCACAGCTGATATATTAGAAAACAAGCTAAACAAACTATGTAACTATGTTAATATCTTTACAGGGATTCAAAGTTAGTCTCTCTCTCCCTCTCTCTGTCTCTCTCTGTCTCTCTCTCTCTCTCTCTCTCAGACACACACACACACACACACATACACACACACACACACAGGGTCAGGCATTGATGATGCTGGAGAGGGTTGAAGGGGGCAGGGACTGCAGTAGAACCTTGGAATAGCACCTGCACCAGTGTGGGCAATGTCCTAGGGAGGTAGTGCCTGCACAATGCCCAGACTTTTCCAGCCTACTGCAGGACCCAGTGTTCAGTCACCCCGCCCAGACTCCTGGGCGTCTTTTCCAGGATGGCTAGCCTGAAAACCAATGGGGAGATCCTCAGGAGAGGGCTGGGAGGGCTGGCTGCGTGCTCAGGACTCTGAGGTGGAGGGGCGCGGTCAGGACCACGGGAGCTGGGTGCTTGGAGCCAGGGCCACTGGGCGGCCCCCTGCCTGGCGCGCCCCGGATGCCTGGAGCTGGCTGGTGACCTCGGGAGGCCGAGAAGGAGCAGAGTAAACACAGCGCTGCGGGGCCCGCCCCACCTCTGCCGGCTCTGGGTCCCTTCGGCGTCGCCCAGCCCGGACCCCGCCCCGGGGTGTCGAAGCCTGGACTGGCGGGCTGGGACCGCACCCCAGTGCGGGTCCCTCGGAGCGCGCCTGGCTGTCCCGCCCCGCCTGGCCGGGCCCCTCGGGCGGGCTAGAGCCCTGCTTTGCTCTTTTCGTTGGCCAAGCACAATTGTGTTATTGGAGATAATGAATTCAATCCCCATCAAAGGGCATTAGGCTTGCCCGGGCCCTGGAGTTGCTGGTGCCTTTTTTTTTTTTAAACTAGAAATGAAAGGCTGAGGAGAAGAAGAAAAAAAATTCTCTGGGGGAGCCTTTGCCCTGATCGCTGCTTTTGAAGTGAAGGGGCCCGGGCATTGTTGTTCACCTCGCGGCCCATAAGGCTGAAGAAAGCCCGGGCTTTTGATGGGCTGAGAACCGCCTCGGCAATGAGCGCCACGTCGGGCCGCACGGCCTGCTGGCAGCATATGTCTCAGGGCACCCGGGCACCGTCTGGCGGGCGGGCGGGACCGTGGGGCTGGCGGGAAAGAGGCTCGGCCCCGAGGGCTTGGGGCTGGACCCAAGGCCAGCACCCAGATCCGGGGACCCTGGAGCTTGCCCAAGACTGAGACCCGAGTGCCTCCTACGGATTCGGTGGGGTGGCCGAGGGGTTCAGGCAGGAACCCACCCTTCCTTCGGGAAAGTAGGGTTCTCAGCGAAGGAGGCAGGCCCAGCTGGCTGGAGTCATCCTTCCTCAATACGGAACCCCAGTTTGAGGTGTGCACCTCAAAAAGGGACAGTTGGGGGGTTTCCACATAGGACTATGGATGCACGCCCTGCACGAGGCAGACTCTCGCCCGGGAGTGAGCCGGCTGCAAATTTCTCAGGCATCCAGGGCACTGGGTCACCTTTTGTAAAAAACTTGTTGCGGGCATTTATTTTCATGTCCCAAAGTGAACTTGCCCCCACCTGGATCTATGCGTTCACCCTTCCTTCCACCCCAGGCCTCCTCTGAACAGCTCTTGGGTTGCAGAATTGGCCATGATAACCCTACAGCTCCTCTCAGGTCCTCCCCATCGCGGACCTCCTCCCTCTCCCCAAGGATCCGGGTTATCCGCCCCATTAATATATTAGCCAGGCACAACACAAAGGAAGCGCGTGTCGGCAGAAGGCCTTGTGACTCCAGGGAGAGGCCAGGAAACCTGGACGATGCCCTGCCCACTTCTCAGCTCTAAGCAGACCCAGCCAGTGGATCGGCCTCCACCTGGGGAAAGCTTGGGAGGACGTGGCGGAGCTGCGGCTCACAGCTGAGCTCAGTGGCAATGGGGTTGGAGTTCGTAGCTGGCCTCCTAGGAATGAAGCTCAAAGTCCCAAGTGGGACACAGAGTTGGACAAACGTCCCAGACACCCAGTCAGTGCAGAGAAAACCAGTGTTGGAGAGCACAGAAGACACCAAGCACCTATTTCCTCCCTCATGCAAAAGGGACTAAAAATCACATCTACAAACGAAACAAAACCCCAACAGAGACCATTATATTTTCCTCATTAAAGGGAAAGAAAGAAGAAAAAGAACATCTTAGCGTGAGGACTTGATTAGACAAACAACTTCTGCAGAGAGGGGAAACAGCCTAGGAGGTTTCCAGTCAATTCATCGTTCCCTATCCCCCACCCCCCGCAATGCCTCGAGGAGTGGAGGGGAGACCTTATTTGCAGGTGGTTTCTCTTAGCTCCAAGGCGGGCAGCACCGGATGTGTTATCCTTAAGAGCTTTGGGAAAATAGAAGGCGACCTCACCAGTAGAACTTTGAATCAGGTTTCCCCGGATGTCCCTAGTCGGGTTCGGAGCGGGATCTCAACCGACTTGCCTCTCACCTGGGTTCTCAAGTGCAGAACACAGCCCTTTCTTTCCCGGATTTGAAGCGACAGGATCGCCATCCTGTCTCTAAATCCCAAACTGACTACAGTTTTAGCGAACTTCAAAGTGTCCTGGGGGAGTATCTGCGAGCCTCGGCTCTGGGGACTGCAGGGAGGAAGTGAGCGTTAGGTGTGTAGCAGTCGCGGCCATAGTGATTGGAGGGAGCCTGGGGAAGGAGAGGAAAGGAAGGCTGAAGGAATGAATCCCCCTGGACAGGTCTTTCGGTGTTGGGAGCGGGAAAACGTGTGTTTTACGGGTGACAACTGAACTTCTTAGGTGTTCTCCCGGTCCCACAAAACCTCCGAAAAGGGCTGGAGAATGGGGGTGGGGGGCCTGAGGGTTGCATTCCCAGCTGTGCAAAGTTCAATGAATGGGGCAGGCAGGCCTGGGAGGTAAAAAGAGAAACACCAATGGAACCATTACGTCCCGAACTTAACTGTTCGGAAGGAAAAGAAGATTTAAAGCAATCTGTTGTTAAATGCATTTAGACGCATGAAATAGTAACCTTGGGCAGAAATAAAACTCGCTAACGCCTACTTTTAAAACCCTCTCTCCACAGTAGACTGACTCTGGGGTTGCTGTGAGCTTTGCTATGCTGTTTTGCTCTTACTAAATTCTTAGTCTCATGAGACTCTTTTGGGGTTTAATTACTCTTTCAATTTGGGTAGTTTTTATACCTAAATTTCAGCATAATTTGATTATCTATTTAGGTCAGGGTGGCTTATAATAATCTCTTTTTGCACCCAATTATCTCGAATCAAGAGGGCATTCTCTTAGCTGCATTTAGTTGCAAAACACAGCCACAATGCAGGCAGTTAATCTTAAAGACAATTTTTTAAACTTTTAACTTTATTAAATACATACTAAATAATTTAAGCAATTCTATTTTTCAATGAGTTATTTCCTCTCTTGACATATTGAAGTGTCACATTAAAATACATTATAGCTAAATGTTCTATGATATGACTGCTAAATCAACAGAAAAGCAATTGATCTGGAGGAAAGGTTAATTAATTTGGGCTACAGGTCTCCTGCTTTCGTCTGCAATGAAAAGAATTTCTATTGATCTCGGTAGATTTTTTTGTAAAGAAACTTAATAAGCATTTTCATGAAACTGAAATCAATATTTTAAACGACAAAACAACAGAATTTTATAATTTTATCATTCTTGGAATGCTCTCCTGTAGTGGCTCGTTCAAAACGGTTAAACTCAAGAAAAAGAAGTCTTAACCTATTCAAAGAAATCCGCCTTTTGAAAAAAGAAAACGTACATTAAGAACTTCACTAGTATATGCCTGTTTTCATCGCATCATTCCCTATTTATGTATTCTGCAGTGCAGAGGGCCACGAAGTCACAATAGAAACTAAATTTTATCTCTGAGATTTAAGGTGGTCTCAGCCGATCTCCAGAAACCAGGTTGAACTGCCCTCTGCTTCCGAGTTGTTTGGTTCCTCCCCGAATAGACCTTCCTTATCTATCTTAGGCTCTTTTTGTTTTATTCATTTTTTAATCGCGTTTAAAAAGGTTTCAGGGTTGAGCTTCCAAACACAAGGTGAAAAGTAATCATTGACGCTGTGCACTCTCTCCCCAAACGCTTTTTTCTGTGTTACTGTTTGCTCCGCGGTGGTGGAGGGATCAGAGGGCCCCTGGAGCTTTCCACTCGGGTCAGTTGGAAGCTTTTCCCCCCCTCTTTGCTGCCCCCGCTTCCGGCCCCTCCCCCACACAGCGCAAAATTCCTAAAATCTCGGCTCGAGGAGTGGACTGCACCCTGTATGTTCCCTGTCTGGCCGAGGGAGCATCGGCGAAGCAGTCAGTGGTCGGGGAGCAAAGCAGGGCCGAGGCGGCGCTCTCGGGAGGGTCCCTGCTCGTCCCTGGAAGCACAGATGTTTTCTTCCTGGCCCGAGCATGGCACCCTGGTTGGCGATCCCGCGTTTGTGTGTTCGGGTTTCCGAGTAAGGGATTACGCAGCGGGAGCGGCTCGGCCAGGCTGGCCGCGGGGTGGGCCCGAGACACGGCGCCCGGCCTCCTTTGTTGACTTTTAGGTCTGTGGCTCAACAGAAGATTTATTCGCTAGGAGGGGAAAATGCCCAAACAATGAAGAACTAACTGCATTTGTCACCTCGGGATGCTTGCACGGTCCGCTCTGGCCCCTCTTCCCCAGCAACCATCTGTCCCGGGCCCCCAGCCCGCGTGCGTTCAGAGCCGCTCGCCGTCCCGGAGTGGCCTAGAGCACAGACGCGGACCCGAGCACCGCCGCTCTCCGTTCCCGCATCCCGCATGCCCGGTCACTAGAGCGGCCTGGCCCACGGCCACCTCGTCCACCCAAACCCAGAAAACTGACAACTAAGGCCGACACAAACCTGGAAGAGGAGGGGTCTGCACAAAAGTCAGACTTCGTTTCAGGGCAGCGCGAGAAATGCACAGGCCGAAGATCGCGCATTTATTTTACATGAGAGTTTGTATGTGCTCACACTGCTTACCCGTTGTATGTGTAACTGTTGAGATCGAAAAGCCCTTTCGTCTTTGGGATATGCTTGATGGTCCTTTAGAGGACTGCGAATTAAGTTTTGAAATTACTCACGCCGCTAAGCAATTTCTCTCCCCCAACCCCCTCCTTTCACTACTCGGAGAGAGCAGAGCGCGGGATTTCTGGATTTTTCTCAAGTGCTACGTGGCACCCCTTCTCTCATCTGGGGAGGTAATTACGCGATAATTAAGCGACTGGCACGGCTCTTTTTATCTTGTCTGTACGGTGGAGTGCTGCATCAAAGTAAAGGCTGTCCAAGTTCAAGCCCTGGAGAGGATGGAGTTCACACACAAGGGCTCAGGCAGACCGGCCTCGGCTTGGGCTGGTGCTGTTATTGTTGGTGTCAATCCGAACAAGTCTTACAAAGAAATAGGTGGACTGGAAAGCGAGCCTACTATCAAAGGAGATTAATGATTTTGTGATCTCAGGCAACTACGGGGTGTGAAGTTGCATTTCAAAGCTTCTTACAAGGCAAACAAATCATCAGGTTTAAGTTCTCAGAAACAATATTTTAAAAATATCTTCACAAAACACAAGACAGCAGCTACCCTGAAATGCTCACAAAGCTTCCCCCACAGGAATGAATTAACCGCCCTCCGCCCCCACACACTGTCTAAACCAACCATGATAGCTAAGTTTTGTTTCTCTTTTAATACTAGGGCTCAGAGTCTGTGGTAGATAACTTAATTTTTGTAGTCAAAAGCTGCTATTTTCTTCTCATTCAAATAATTACCGAATTAGAAAAATAAGGAATTGATAATTTAATTTCAAACGAGGAAAAAAAAACCTAAAAGGAGACACAGAAGATTTAAACCTCATGACCCACCCCACCCCCACAAAACTGAAGTAAACATTACTGGGAATAAAGAATTTTAAAAATCTCAGTTCTTGGAATAGTGTCAGGTTATGTACCCACTTTAATTGAATTTCCTTCACTACATTTTACTAATTACACATCAATTTAAGTTGTAGATAAAACCATTTTATTTTAGATTACATCCCTGTTTGTCTTTTATATTAAGTTCCAGAATCTGAAAAATATCCTATTCTGAAGATCTGTTTTGGATTTTAATTGAAGATCTATTTTGGATTTTAAGTAAAGGAAAATGACAGAAATTCTTTATTGTTAACATTTGATTTATTTAAATTCCTTAACTGCAAATGATCGGGAACATATTCCACAGATTAAAATCTTGTATTATTTTTGTTATTTAAATCAAAATATCTTAATTACAATCACATTGATAAAAATTAACATTTTAAACGTGTAATTTTAACCATCATTTAAAGCAATTTCAGCTGTAAAGAAAAAAAGAATAAACCATGCAATAAATTAACATTGAGAAGGCAAAGAGGAATAATAATGAAACCCGTTTGTCTAAAACTAACACCACGTCCAACTGTGGAAAGTGCATTGACACTGGGTGAAACAAGCAGTAAGTAAAATGGCCACAACCGGGATTTTGGAACGTTGGACAAAATTTTGAAATGCATTTCTTATAACTTCTGTCTCCTCAATAATATGATACTTCCTTTGTCCCCTGGGAGAAAATTCTTTAAGTGGTATACATACACAAAAGCTAATTTTATACATGTGACCTCAGAATGACATGAGCACGGGCACTCTGCAGAGCAAGTAGCAGAGTTGGGGGGGAATCGTTTCTCAGGATCATAGGTGGGTAGAGAGGACAAGTGTAACTCGGTCAGGCAATTTTTGAAAATGTAGCATGTCTATCACCTACCTATTACCTCTACATGTTATGCAAAAGTGGACGAGGTCTTGGTATGTGAGCATGACTAAGTCCACAGACGATATATTTATATATATATGTATTTCATTTAAAGACATCCACTATATTGAACGCATCGGAAATATAAGCTGAAAACAAACGGCTCTGATGTATGGAACCTGTGTATACCTTTCTGCATAACGGCAGCACTGTCTTTCAGTACTCTCAAGAGCCCCAACTGTCTCAGTGTTTCTTTTCCGTTTCCAGTTTTACTGAGTTAAGAGTATTGCCACAGACCTGTAAACTCGGGTGGTGGGCCTAGGTAAGGAGGGACAACAACAACAACAACAAAAAAAGCACAAACAAATAGTTTACAAACTTGACCATTTTCTTTTTAAATAATCCCTGCACAGACTAGAATGTGTCCACAGGGGAAAGAGTGAAAGGGAGAGACGGTGGGGAAGGAGGGAGATTTTTCTGTATATACATTTATGGATCATTAAACTTCGCAGGGGGAAAAATCGTTGGTATGGAGTAGGTTGTATTTGTAATAATTCACACAACGAGTGTCGAATACAATAATAAAGTAACAGTCCTTTGCACTGGGGACAATTGTGCATGAAAAATAAAAAATAGTTGGGATTTTATTATGTGGTTGGTTTGGTGTGTGTGGTTTTGTTTGCTGTTGGTTTTTCTCTCCTGCTACCAGGTGGGCCATGCAGACAAACGCCCAGTCCTGGGAGCTAGGAAGTATTTAGCACGGGTCTGGAATACACACCTTGGTAGTAGGCTGGCTCCAGTGCTGAGGGCTCGATGGGGCTCCTCGCGGCCACTGAGGCGCTGCCAAGGGGCAGACTGGCGGGCAAGGTGGCACCGTAGGGAGAGTACTGGAGTGCCTGCTCATACGCCTTGAAGTCCAGCTTGTGCTGCTGCTCCGAAGAGGACATGAGGTTGTTGATGGAGAATGGGTGATTAAAGGAGTAGTGGGGGTCCCCTTTCAGGTGCAGCTGCGATTCGTGGGGTGCCAGGCCGTGCGCCGGGTGAGATGGGGGTACAGATGCAAGCGCCCCTGGCCCGGAGCTTATGGGGGGCGCAGAGGAAGAGGCTGGAGACTTCAACTCCGAAGCGCCCCCTGTCGCCGTGGCCCCGCTGTGGTCCAGAGTCTGGGGGCTGGCGGCGGGCCCGGGGGCCGGGGCGCCCTCTAGCTGGCCAGCCTTTCCGTGCACACCCCGGTGAAGGGGCGACTCGGCGGGGTTACCTGCGCCCGAGGGGTCCTTGCGACTTTCGGGGCCACCCTTGGAGCCGGTGCCCCCGCTTCCGCCTCCGGCCCCCGGCTGCTTCTCACACTTGAAGCGCTTTTGGCGGCGCAAGTAGCAGCCGTTCTCGAACATGTTGCCGGAGTCCGGGTGCAGCGTCCAGTAGGAGCCCTTGCCGGGCTTGTCCGGGGATCGCGCCACCTTGACGAAACAGTCGTTGAAAGACAGCGAGTGGCGGATGGAGTTCTGCCAGCGCTGCTGGTTTTGACGGTAATAGGGGAAGAGGTCCATGATCCACTGGTAGATCTCGCTCAGCGTGAGCATCTTGCTGGGCGCCTGCTGGATGGCCATGGTGATGAGCGAGATGTAGGAGTAGGGTGGCTTGGCGTGCGGGTAGCTGCGCTTGAACGTCTTGGCGTCGCCGCCGCCCCCAGCGCGGCTGCGGCCCAAGTTGGACGGTGCGTACGCCATGGGGCTCATGCACGGGTTCATGGCGGCCGCGTAGGGCCCCAGGCCGTTCATAGAGGCTGCGGGCTGCGCGCCCATGGAGCCCATGCCTCCCGGGCTCAACGCTGCACCCATGGCCGTGACACCTGCCGCCGTCATGCTGTTCATGGCGCCTGCGGAGCCCCCGGGCATGCCGGCCACAGCACCCGGACTCAGGCCGGCCCCTAGGCCCGGGTTGGCGTAGGACATGTTGAAGGAAGCCGGGGTCATATTGCCGCTCGTGGTCATGGTGTTCATGGTCATGTAGGTGTTCATGGAGTTCATGGAGCCCAGGCCGGAGTTCATGTTGCTGACAGGGACAGAGGAGTAGGCCTGGAGCGGAGACAGCAAGTGAAGAGGCCCCAGGGGCGGGATTAGTAGTGCGCCCAGGAGTTTGGCTGGCCCAGGGCGAGACCCCCTGGGCGAGCGACCAGCATTTCTGCAAAGCTTGGGAACTCCTTAGCCGGGACAAACTGTTCCGTGCCCTTCCCTGGCCGCGCAAAGATGGCTTACACGGCAGGGGGGAAATCCTAGCACCGCAGGCAGGAAAGATTAGCGCTCACTGAAAGTATGTCCCCGGGAAGATGAGTAATCCTTACATGCCTGGTTCAGGGGCTGGCTTCTAGGGTGCCCCCTTCGTTTTCATCCAAGGTAGGCTGTACCCCAGTATCTATCCCAGACTGGCCTAGACAAATTGCCTTTGGGCCAGATGAATTTTGAAACTCCGAAAACAGAATTTTATGTCTGAGTCGCTTCTTCAGTTCTCACCCCCACGGTGATGTAGGTTCCACACAGGCCTGCTGGGCCGTCAAACAGGCACCAGTTAGGCGCCCACCCTGCCGAGGTCTGGCAGGCACCTCTGGCCGGACAGCAGTAGGCATTGTGTTGGCCGCTGTTAAACTCTTACCCACTGAGTAAATGGCCTATATGCCCATATGACCACCCCCATCCCAATTACTCATCTCCCCAGAAACTGGCTTTGTCTTAAGAGTTGGTGCCAAAAGATGACTTTCTGTTATTATATTTAGAAGTAATGCTTCCCCCCTACTTGCAAAAATGGTAATATTTGAACAAAAACACCAGTTAAATAAAACTCTGGAAAAAGTAAAATTAAAAATAAGGTGTGCAACAGAACAACGTGATGCATATATTTAACTTTAACGTGACTACATTTACAGTTCTGGAAGCTATTAAAAAACCTTCCGTTAAATTGTGTTACCTGTTTGCAGTCCTCTGACAACTGAAAAACTTGGTAACACAATTTACACACACACACACACTCACACACACACTCACACACACTCACACACACACTCACACACACACACTCACACACACACACACACTCACACACACACACACACACACACACACACACGCACGCACACCCTATAACAGATGGCTGCTGCCGCCCATATCAAAGCCTGGGCTTTGAAACTACATGAGTAGTTTGGAATAATTTAAAGCTCCCAAGTCAAACTCACTTTCTCTCAATGCTATTCTGCTTCCTAATTCCCAGCTTTGAGATATAAGAAAGCTGTTTCCATAGGGATCTTCTCTTATGGGCCAAGGTGACTTCGTCAAAATTAAACCCCCCCGAAAGTGGCCTGAGTTGTTAAAATCACCAGCAAGCAGAATGCTCATCATTAGCAATCCAGAGAATGACTTGAGGTTAGGAAACACAGAGCCCTGGCATATAGCTGCCTATCTGGTAATCTAACATTTTGATGTCCTTAAATTTATGTTCACAAGCAAATGTAACTCCATCTGAAAACGTAAGAGATGGCTAGACTTAAATATGAAGACCCAACAAGGTATGGTTCCCAAATAAACACAGAGACGAATAGATAAATTTCAGTGAAGGTATTTTCAGATTCTGTACTTTTCTGTACAGATCTTAAAGTGCTTTTTACTTTGGGATTTATTTTCTAGCCCTCTCCCCAAGATCGTACTAGGCTTTCTCAGTAAGAGCTTTCCATAACGGTAATTAAACTTTTGAAGTTGATCGACAGCTGTTTCTAGAAAAGTATTTTTAATAGGTAGTGGCCCTGCCTGTACCTGATTTTCCTCACAATGCTTTTGTGCACAATGTAAAGTAAACCCCGTGAACATGCCACCAAGGGGACAATGAAGAGAAACAGGTTCTTGGCCCTGAGTTCTGGAAAAACGATTCGGTTCGCACTAGCGCCACCCAGCGGCTCTAGAGTGGAACGGTCACAATTTTCTACAAACTGGGCTTTTGAAGAATAAGTTTTATAAAATTTAGAAATCATTTCTTACGAAGAAGCCCAACTTCCCGCGGGAGATCATTTTATCCGGAGACGTCGGAGAATTAAGTGGCGGGACCGTGAGGCCGCCCGGTGAGCGAACACTGACTCTCGGAGTTGCTTTTAACTCCGGCCAGAGCCCGCCGGCCACCCCTGCGGCTCTCGGGGCCAGGCTCCGGCTCCCGCTCTCCGCAGGGCAAAGGCTAGTGCTTCCCGGAGCGGGTGTTTTCAAAGCCCGGAGTTTCCTAAAACTCTCTGCTCGCTCCAAGCGCCGGGACCCAACGGGCAGCCGGCTGCCAGGGAGGCCGGCTGGGGCCACAGTGGGAGCCGCGCCTCCGGCGAGCCGCCCCCAGCCCGTGCGCCCCAGTCCCCCAGGTCTCCCCGGACCCCGACTCTGGAGACGCTCTGCCACCTCCCCGCCTCTCACCTCCTGCGTGTCGGCGTAGTAGCTGTTCCAGTCGCTGCTCTCATGCCCTTCCATCTTCACAGTCCCTAACATCCTGGAGCCACCCTGCCCGGCACAACCATCCAACCCTGTGCGGAGCGACGGGCGGGTGCGCTGCGCGCGGCAGCGGGGGAAGGGCGCGGGGCCGCTGCGGTCACCCGAGCGCTCGAGGGCCCAGCGCCACCCCAGCGAGGAGGAAGCCGGGCGCTGCGGGGCGCGGCGTGCGCGGCGGTGGCGGTGGCGGCGGCGCGGCGGGAGGGGGCAGCGCCGGGGACAGGAGGCGGCCGCGAAGCGCGGCGCCCGGCAGCGCCTCCGCGGGAAGTGAGCGGGCGGCCTGTGCGAAGCGAGTGCAGTTGAGCTGATGTGGATCTTACGTCGCCGGAGTGCCCACCTCCTCGTCCTCTCCCCATTTGTCCGCCGCACAAAGACGCTCGCACCTACAAAGCCCGAGGTGCACCTGCGAGGCGGCCGCCCGCCAGTCCAGCCGCCGCGCCTCCCGCCCCGCCGCGCCAGTGCCGCACGCCCCCCCCCGCGCCCCTCCCGCCAGCCCCCTCCCCCAAACCTGGCCCTCACTTTGTTTACAAAGCAGTGTAATTGGTTTAAGCCCAGAGGCTAGGGAAAAGAGGAAAATGGGGCGGGTGTGTGTGGGTGACCCCCTTTGGAAAAGAAAAAAAAGAAGAAGAAGAAGGAAAAAGAAAAATAGGCGGTGCCTGGAGGACAGGCCAGGGCTCTAGACCAGAGAGAGCATTGCTGCGGGAGAAGGACTGGGGTGGTGGCGTCAGAGTCCCAGCGCCCGGACCGTGCTCGCTGAGTGACCCCGAGCTCCTTCCCAGAGGCACTCACTACCCTCTGGATCTGACGGCTGCTCGGTTCTTGGTTCCCTAGGCTCTTTTGCTCCCCCACCCTGGTTCTTGACCCAAAGTTCAACCCTGGGAGACCACCCCCACTTCCCGGGCTTCGGGTTTGTAAAGGGGAAAAGCCCCACTTTTGCCTCGTCACTAGAAACCCAGTCATCTGAGTCAGCCGAGCAGGTGACGTTAGGCCGATCTGGGCTCCCGGCTAGCAGAACGGAGGCGCTGCCACGAAACTCGTACCTGCGGCTAAGAGCAGGTGAGTCACAGCACCGTTTTATATTTTTATGACATAACTTTTTTTTTTCCGCCTCAGTCCACTCCACTCCCCTTGTCATCTGCAGCGATCAGAAAGAGGAAGAAACTGAGAGCAGATGTTTGTGTGATAGGGCCTGCCTCTCTCTGCCGGGCTCCTCCTCCAACCCCCCTTCTGCAGCCTCCGGGACCGAGCTGGAGGCGACCGTCTGGTTTTTGATAGAGAAAGGTCAGGGGGAGGGGACATCTCCCTAAACACCGGCCTAAACTGGGAGCGTAAGGACTTGGGTGCTGGAACGCATCTGCCACGCTAAACGAGGTGCCAGCCTGAAGCTTGAATCAGCCTGGTCTATAACCTGGAGGAGAGGGGCTCGACTATCAGGCTTCCAAAAGGTCCTGGACAGCTGTGGAAAATTCTCCCCCACTCAAAGTCTCTTGCCTCCTTCCTGTGCTTCCTAAGCAGTGGCTTGTCCTCTTGTCCTGCTGAAGGAGGCTAGTTAAAGAGATTCATCTGGGTAGACAGAGTTTGTGATAGGTTCCGAGAAGGTGCCTACTTCTGAGTGACTGACTGCCTGTGTGTTCGTGAACATGTGTAATGTTTATAACTACTGAGTGTTTCTAAGTGTGTGTGGCCCTGCGAGTGTTGTGCCAGGCTGTAGATTTACTAGATTTCCTTCAGAAGCAATGAAATAAACCCCGAAGTGACCAAGAGACTGAAGTATTCTTGTTTTGCCAAGTTTTTTTTTAAGGTAATTAATCTCATTTGAAGGAATGCGTTTTTACTTGTCTTCCAAATAGATACCCCCACCACCACCACCCGGTTCTTTGTTCTTTTAAATCTTTCTTCCTTGAAATCTGGCAGGAGAATCACGTTAAATCCTTGAACCAAACAAATCTTTTAAATCAGCAGGGGAGCAGAGAAGGTGAAGATGTGTAGTTAAGGAAATAAAAAAGATAAAAGCATTGGATTACAATTCTTTTTTGAACAAAGTGTGTGTGTGTGTGTGTGTATGTGCGCGCGCGCGCGCATGTGTGCATCACGTTATAAGCAAAGGAATGAGGGTGAAATCAAATCTACCTAGAACTCATCAGAGCAGGCAGCCATCTCCTAGGGTAGCCGACTTCTGTGAGGAGAGGTCACCCCCATTGGTTGTGCAAATGTACCTGTGGGTGTGTGTCAGAAACTAATTCTTTTGTGCAATGTTCCCACCAACAACAGGATCCCCTTTTCGTCTGTAAAGCACGGGGATGCTTAGCTTCCTCAGTCTGGTCCTGGGGACTTCCAGGGCCAGGAAGCTTCCTTGTTCCTTAGTAGCTGAGTCTCTGATGCCCTCTTGGCTCTTCTACAACACCTAGCATAACTTGGACATTTCCTGTGGGTAGTAACAACTTAGTAATAGCTTTATATAGAGCATAAAAAGCTAATGACTTTGGGGGTGCCCTGTCACGTGGAAGGGGTGGATTAAAAAATCTCATGTTCTTTCAGTCTGGTTTTCCAAATCTTCTAGGCCCCCTTTTCCAGTCGACTTAAAAGGAGAAGGGGGCCACAAATAAAGTGAAACCACGGTGAAGTTTCTCGAAAGCATCTTCAAAATCCCAGAGTGGTGGTACAGAATGGATTCTGCCCCGTTTAAAGTCTTGGGTCTGTGGCCCATTTCCTGCAAACAGCGCCTCCTGGGTACCTGTTCTCGCAACAAGGCCGGGCTAGACTGGATTAAACTGGCAAGGCTGTCAGGCAGTCAGGAGTTTTGACTCAAGAGTTGGCTGTCTGAAGCCAAGTAGAAGGAAAAGCAGTCCCTGGGTAACTTCTCTGCATTTAGTGATGGACTTTCTAGATGCCTAACAAATTAGGTTGGTGAGGTTTTGGTGTACCCAGAGGCCGGTTTTCCCCAGGTTTAAAAGTGAAACAGTAGTCACTTCTATCCAAGTCTTTGACTTGGAAAACACCACCAGATCTCCCTGCCCCCCCCCAACTCTCGTTGGAGGGAGGCTGAGAGGGAGTGGGGGAGAATATGGCTATTGTCTTCTCTTTGGTTGCTGGCTCGTTGACACCCAGATAAGGAGTCCAACTCTCCTAAACCTTGTTCATTTCTAACATCTTTCCACAAATCGGCCCTTATGCCATAGCAAAACCGGTCAATTAAATCTGCCTCCAGCTCTGGGGAACTGAGAGAGCTCACAAGAAGTGGGTCATGTGGGCTCTTCTGCGATGTCCTACGTTGGAACTTGCCAGGGTGAGGACCTTGGGCCTCAGCCTAGGGTTCCCCAGGTAGCCTAAAGTGGTAAGTGGAGGAAGCTAGGGAGGTCAGGACCGTGGGCTACGTTCTTACTCCAGTCTGTTTTAAAAAGGAGGTGGCTCTGTCATCCCTGGAAGCTGTTCTCGCCAAGCCCCTGGAGCATGATCAACGCCAGGCCAACCGCACAGGGTCCGCTCACCAACCTGTCTGCTTTAGCCTACCCTTCCCAGATAGACGTGGCCTTTCCCGGTGCTATTCACGGGACAGAAGGACATCGAGGACCCGCTGGCACCTTTGATGCGCCTGACCCGCTGGCACCTTTGATGCGGTGTGCCCTGAGAGTGGGCGGAGTGTAGTACTTTGAGCTTTGAGCGGGCCCTCCTCTGTGGTGCTCACCGGAGTCTCACGAGGGCTCTCCCTCTGGATCTTGCTAGTCTACCCTTCCTCTTCCGGCAGACCCTACCTCCCATCTTAGGACTGTAGCCAGGTCAAGGCCTCGGTAGCCCCAGCCACTCTCGGTGCCCGGTGGTCCGATTTATTCCTTCACCCCCACCCCCACCCCCACCCCCGCCAGATAAGACGCTTAAGTCCTCCTCCAGCCGTGGGGAATTAGACACGCGAAGCAACTAAGACCTGTGGTCTTTAACTGGGTTCAAAGCCGACTCCGACTGGGACCAGTTTAGGGCTTCACCCAGTGGGCTGTGCTGGAAGCGTCCCCTTGTACTTGCTTGTGGTTGTGGGGAAGTCGCCTGGGTACCTTCAGCAACCAGCCCTAGTCCCCTAGTCCCCCGTGGCCGGCCGGGCGGCCCTTGCCATAGGGCTCCCTACCCAAACCAGTCTTAAGCTCAGGGCAAGGTTCGGGTTTCTTTTCTATCGCTGCCTCTTTTCCCTTTCTTTCTGACCTCACACGTTCCTTTGACTCTTTCTTCTGATATTAAATCCTCCTCAAGGAATCGGTTCATGGTAAGCAAGACGTCCAATCTCCAGTGGGTGGGAGTCCGGGGGCCACCTGGCAAGCCTTGTCTGGTCAGTTCTATACCAGCTCCTCTACTGCTCTGGGCTGCACACCTGTCCAGGTGTGCCTTTGCACCACACGTATGCATGTTCTGGGCTTTCGCTTATTTTGCTAAAAGCAAACAAAAACAGACATTGAGTTTGTCCGTTCTCTTGCTCCTTGAGTTGCCGCCAGTTTTCAGAAAGTCCCTTGAGTCCAAGATCCAGGCTAGTCCGCAACCGGATGTCTGAGCCGGAGCTGCTCCCCATCTGGCCTCGCCCGCGGGCGACAAAACCGTCACTCTGGCCGTGAGAGAGCTTCACCTTGCCAAGATCAACTCACATTTTCATGTATTCAAATGAGAAATGTTGGGAAGGAACACTTTCCTCTCCGGGCATCCACAGCCTTGGAAGGAAAAGTTAAGTGTATCCTACAGACCTTGGAGACAAAGGTTACCTCCAGGAGCATCCTCGGTTCCTCTCCAATACCTCTCACCCGTCCCCCCTCCCCCCACCCCCACCCTCGCCCGCCCACCCAGTCACAATCGGATCCCCACAGTCCTGTTGCAACATTTGCCCTGAAAGTTAGCTACTACTTTATTCATACCCATCAGCTAAGCTAGTTGGAAGCCCTACTCGGTCAGTCCCTTCTTCCTAAGTCAGCCCCACAGGTGAGGAGTGGGTGGGGTACACAGGGCTTGGGCGTTCCTCTAGACCTTGTAAAAGAAGGATGGAGACTGCTCGTTTCACATTAGGAGTTAGAATGCCACAGACTGGGCAGAGCACCTTGAGACCCCTTTGTTCTCCACCGGAGCCCAGGTGCTCAAGAGCTGGGGAGGGTTGGTCGGGGACTTGACCCTTCACAGGCCAAATGCCCAATCTAACAGGAAGCCAAGGGCTCCGAAAAGTCAAGAAATTTTATCTTTTGCATCGAGGTTAGTAGTAGCTTAAACATAATCCTTCCCCAAGGGCAGAAAGTAGCCAAGCACTTACCTTAGTCATGCCTGCCACGCACTCCCTCCAATCCACCGGAGTCCCCCACTTTCCACACATCCAAGAGCTTTCCCACATCCTTTAGTCCCCTCTGGTGGTTTAATTTTGCTTATTCAAATGTAATTATCCTCACATTTACATAGTTCTATCTAAGGGATGATTTTGAAACAATCAAATGAATCACATCCTAAATTTACAAGAACAATAAAGAACATGTCATTTCCCCCATTGTATTCCTGTCCTCATCCCCCCTCTCTGATTCTGAGACTAAATTACTGAGACAACTAGGGGAGGCTACAGTCTTTGTGAAAAGTTAAAACTTGACTGATGGGCAATTTGGGGCAGCCGCTTCTACTGTTTCCAGTGACTATGCTAGAGATGCTGGGTTCTCGCCGTGACACAGTTATTTGTAACTTTCAAATCTTTCTCTGTCTTATGGGTCACAGAGCAAAACTTAGCTCATCATGCAACAGGTTTGCTTCTAAACAGAACATGCCGTTGAGGTGTCATGGGAGTCATTTGCTTGGGTGGGATCCTACTGAGATCTGCAGGGACTTGGAGTACTTCCTGAATGGTGTGATTTGGGTTCCATGGTGTCCCTGGATCTGAATAAGGACATGTCTGGCCACTATTGGGCATTATGGGTGGTAGAAAATTTTACAGACATCCCCCAGTCTTGTCCTTTAGCTCCATGTCCTGCGATATAGTCCTGCTATGTTCTCAACATTCCTGTACAACAATTGTCCCCGCCCCATTCTCTCCTGTTTCCAGCATGGTCTAG